ACAGAACTACCACATTGAGCAATTAAAAAAAAAAAAAAAAAAGAGTCCCATATGGTGGATTATTTATCAATTTCATTAGTCTAAATCTGGTTTACATATTTTCTACTTCGGACTTATAGATACAAAAGAACGGGATTTTACCTCAAAAGAAAAAGATAGGAATTAGTATGTTACCAGTGCGCGAAATAGGCATCGGCCATCCCCGGTAACCCTCTGAACCAAATAGCGTTCAACTTTCTTGGTGGTCGGTGATCCTTTACTTCCACTACATCAAAAGCAATGGACACAAAAAGCTTTTTCATAGCATTTATCTATCTAATATAGAAAATATATGAAATTAAGAAATTAAAATATATGTGGAACAAAAATGAAAAGGAAAGAAAGAACAGAAATTTACATTGACGGTCCAATTCTGGCAAAGAACCGGTGGCTGTGGTCTCCGAGAAATGGCGGCGGACATGAATGAGGATTCGGAGTTGAAATCGAACGAACGGGGACTGAGACGAGCTCAAATTGCGCAGTTCCATTCTTGAGCTGCTCAAGAACAGTCTCTTGCATAGAGAAGAAAATGAATTGTGAAATTTCTGTTAGGCAGCCGAGAAAGTTGAGGAATATGTGTGTTCACTGTATAAGTAAGTTTCTGCGTCTAGGTAGAAAGAGAAAGCGGAAGAATAGGTAAAGAAGTAGTGAAAGAGAGATTCGGAATTACCATTCGAGGGTTTGATGTCCGCCATGGATAGAGAGAGTGAGGTCAAGAACCGCCGGAACGAACGACGACGTGGATAAGAGGAAGCGTTGCAGCGTAGAGTTTAGGCTTAATTAAGATGGTCAGCCCATAATATGGCCTTTTCTCAGCCCATATATCACGGAAGAAAACAAAAACAAAAAATGTTACTCGTGTGTTTGGACGTTTTTATTTTTCACGTAACGGCGTTTGGTACAATAAAAATAAAAAGTTAAAATAAAAATAATTTTTTAATTTAATATAAAATATGAGATAAATAAAAAATGACTTTTATACTATATTGGTAGGATTGATAGAAAAGATGAAGGAAAGAAAAGTCAAATACTTAGGTAAATGAAGTAAAATGATTTTCTCTCGTATTGTTTGATAGAAGAGAAAGAAAAATGAAAAAAATATCAAATTTAAGACATTTTATAATAACACTCCAATACAAATAAAAATATGATAAATGGTAAAAGTTAAAATTGTTATTTTACATCTCATTTTTTTGTCAAATTTTTTCCCTCCTCTTTTCTTCCCAAAGTTGGAAGGATTAAAAATTAATGGGCTCCATGAATTTTTATTTTTCTTCCTTCCTCATTTCTTCTCTACCAAACAACTTAAAATTCAATTTTCCTCTGCAAAATCCTTCATCTATTTTCTTTCATCTCTCTTTTCCACCCTACCAAACAAAGTATAGTCGTTTTTCATTTTTTTATTTTTCGTTTTCTCCTCTCTCAAATAGAGAGAGAGAAACATTAATGGGTTTTTTATATTAAAAACAATCTCTTAATAAACTACCAAACACATTTTTAAAAATGATTTCTGTTTGAGATTGAAAACGTTTTTATTTTCATTTTCATACTAAAAACAAAATCATTTTGGAACGAATTCCAAACGCGCCTGATGTCATCGTTACGTTTAAGCCTTGTTCACTTCGCGGATTCAAATTTTCAATTCAAACTAAGATGTGACATTTTTTGAGAGTTTTTAACTGTAACAGAAAAAATTAGATATGACATATTCTGAAAATTTTTAACTATAAAAATCTAGAATTGAAAAATCGAATCGATTGAAACGAATGGAGCTTTATTTATTACTAGTAATAAGTATGCACCCGCGCGTGCATCCATTACATTTTTTATATAAAATATAAAATTTCCTCTAATATTTAGTTATATTTATTTATTACTAACTTAATAATTGAGTTTAATAAAAAAGGAAAAAAAAATTTAGTAGAACACGTTTAAAAGGAAAAATTATCACATAGTAAATTATTTATGGGGTACACATAAAATGAATTATTTTAAATAGAATAAAGTGAGAAAAAATCATAAAAGTATTTTATAAAAAGATTAATTATAAAAGAGCACTTGGCAAAAATTAAAAAACACTAAAGAAAAAAGTAAAAGAAGAATAGGAATAAGAAAAAGTAAAAAAAAAAACAAAACAAAACAAAAAAAAACAAAAAAACAAAACAAAAAGATAGAAATAAGAAAATGTAAAAAAATAAAAACAAAAAAGAGAAATAAGAAATTGACATGTGGCAAAAAGAGGAGTAATATCTTTACCTCTTTTATGTATGTTAGATACTCAAATGGTGTCATAGTTATACTTGTATCACGAAATTTTTTTAGAATTGACTCTTAAAATTCAATATCAAATCAATATTACTCTTTTTTTCAGTATTATCGCTTTTATTTAACTTATTTAAGTTAATGTATTTCAATAAAAAAAAGCTATAATTAGTCAATAATAGAAATATAAATATTAATTATTGTAAAAGAGTAGTTTTGAACAAAAATAAAAAGGAAATAATATATCAATGGAAACATTTGCAAGGTAAAGAAAACAAATTAGTAGTTGATTTCTCTCGTTTTTTTAACATTAGTATTTGATCATGCTTATAAGCTCTCTCATAAAACTCATTTAAACTACACGTATTTTATAAAATAATTTAAAGTGAAACTAAAAACAAAATAATATCAACGGAAATCTTTGAAAGTTAAAAAAAATTAAAAAATAAAAATAAAACAAACAAATTGGTCGTGGATTTCTCTCATTTTTTTTAACATTAGTATTTGATGATGCTCATAAGCTTTCTCATAAAACTCATTTAAACTCTTTGGCTTGATGAGAATGAGCTTATTGATCCTTTTCAAAAAAAAGAATGAACTTATAGATTGGTAAATGTTTTTTCGGTTGAAGTACACCTCTTTTCTCCATTTTATAGATGGTATATAGATTATAGATCTCATATATAGGAGATGTTATGATGCGAGCCTACTTATAGATACAAATATAAATAAGATTATGGGCAGATTGTGGTTTTGCCTATTGCTCCTCGTGTGTGTGTATATATATATGTATATATATATACGAGGAGCATGGGCAGATTGTGGTTTTGCCTATTGCTTTTCGTGTATATATTTATATATAGATACAAATATATATATATATATAGATTTTGAAGTGAAGATATTAAATATTATTAATCACAAATAATGTGACTAATAATGTCTTTATATACAACGCGACTAATAAAAGATGATAAAGAATTGCATCCCATAAATTTTGGTGCATTAAAAACAATTTTTTAGTTGGCAACATATTTATAAGATATAATTTAACTAAGGAGTTAACATATTTATAAGATATGTTTTAACTAAGGACTTAATTCTATCCATTTCATATCATTATTGTTTGAGTGATGATGTGAAGTACAAAAAATTCCTAAATATAATGAAAATAAAGTGTCAATATGCTGAAAAATCATAAATATGCCAATAAAATAGTAGTACATATGTTAAACACGTGTTAAAAGAACGGCTTAGCTCTTTCATAAAATAGATACAAATCAAACAAATAACAATAAAAAACTAAGACTAAGTCTAGATGGAAAAAAAAAAATCAGGACTTATTATGTGGAGAGGAAAAAATTAGGACCTATACAAAAGAAAAGAAAAATAATGGTATTTAAAGTAAATCTTTAAAATAATCTAACTACCATTTAATTTAACAGTTTTCGTCTAAATATTAACAGAAAGACTACCCATAAGTCGTTTTTTCAATTCATGAACTAGTTACAGATAAAATGACTATGATGATTAATTCTAATTAAGAGAAAAATTAAGGAACTACACATAGATTTATCCCTTCTTAATTAATACATTAATGATTTAAGCATAATTTTAAAGATACTCACCGAAAGTGAATAGAGTATAAAGCTTTTTTTTTTTGGGTGATAAAATCTGGTATACAGTTTTTTTTTAATGAGGTAAAAAGGCAATTTCATTAAGCTAAATCATTTGTAATAAACGGAGTTACAAATCTAGGAATAGCATCCCCATTAACAAAATCAATTTATAATAAAAACTGATAATTTGCGTGGAGTTCCACTTCATTATCAAAAATGAAATTATAGGTGCAAATGGATAGAAGCATATATACCTGCACATCAAAGTCACAACCATGTTTGTCTCTGCGGGCTATGATTCGAATCATGGTTTGTGATTCGCTACAGTATTTTTTCTCATAAAAAACACACGTCAATCAAAAATAGTTTTGAATCATGATTTTGAATCAATAAACCAAACGTCCACTATACAATTCATCTAACTTTGACGAGAACACGCACGCTAAAACTTGAAGGAAAGTAACACAGTTTGGGATAACTATTTTATTTTCTTATTTCTTTTCACGTAAAAGATATAAGGTTGATGATTATATCAAAATTATAATCAAACATGTCTCTAAAATTTTCGCGCCATAGCATAATTTATTATTTTGCCTTTATAATATGATTATCCACATTCTATTAAGCAAATGTGTAAAGATATTATCGGTCTTTCTCATATCCAAACAGATGAGTACAATTAGAAATCTCGAACAAACAAAATAACTTCCCTCATCTCTGACTGTGAAATTTGGGTTTCACACTATTTAAAAGTTTTCTTGCCAAAATTCTATCCATATCGGAAGGTGAGTATATATTTATTGTACATAATTTAGTATGATAACTAGTCAGCAAAATCTAAAACCAACCTAACCCCAACAAACACATGATTTTGGCTGAGCAGTTGAAAGCCTATTTCTACGAGCCAATGTTAAGCAATGGGATACAGCATACATCTCTTTCCATGCAATTCTTTAGTATTCAAATATTGTAAATTATATTGTACTCAAAAATTTTGTTTATAATTAATGGATTTCGTACAATAACTGAAGATCACTTAAGTGATCTAATATAAATAACGTGAGACTTCAAATTATCAAATTTAGACTTCAAGCAATATGACATGACTTTTAAACATAGTCAGTAAATGATATTTGAGTTAGTCATGCATATGCGGCTGTTGCTCATGCACCATTTTTTTCACCGGTGAATTTTCTAATTTGGTTTTGCCATTAAAGTATTTTAACTAGGCCACATCCATTTGACTATTAAAATCTTAAAAAAAGGCAAAAATTCTTTCTAACAGTCACGTCTTGCATGTATATCGTTATAAAATTAACTTCCTCTGAACCACACTATAAGTGAAAGTTCACGCCGGGCAGCATGAATAAAAAATTTGGCCCAACCCAACATGTTATTTTCATCGGGTTAGATTGGCCCTAAATATGAGAGCTTCGGCCCAGCCGGACTATAAAGTCTCTAACTAGCCTAGGGCTGGCCGGTCCAAAACTTTATAAGCTATTTTTAATTTTTTTTTCTTTAGAAAGATTGTTCGGGTCGGGATGCCTTAGCTTGAATAAGCCTCCGGACTTGAAATCTTAGCCCAACTCGGCCACAGAATTCAGGATGCAGACCAAACCAACAGTGTCAGGTCTAGTACTAGCCTGTTTAGCCTAACCTAACCTTACAGCTCTAAGCTGCACATAATCCTCAAACTCCCAAAATTGAAAAAAAAAAAAAAAAAAAAACTTTCCATAGAAGCTCAATAGACAATAAAGGTCTAATATCCAATACATTTGGTGGCCTCACACTTTAAAACCTCTTATTTAAGAATGGAAAAGAAAAAAGAAAATATAAATCTAGTTAACCCGCTCTCCTTCATTAGGGATCAGTTTCTTTATGCTATTAATGTTATGTAAAGCTAAATGATCATTTTAATGAGGTAAAAGCCAACTTGTTTCTTTGTTATTCTTAGCTCAGAACAAGAAATAGTAAAATCTAATTTACTAAGTATTATCCCAAAGTTTTTCATGCTATATAGCTTATGCTACTTGATGATCAACTTGAAACTAACGTTACTTATGTTTGTTCTAATAAGCGATTCTTGGGATTAAAAAGTGTTGGTCATTTTGCAAAAAAAAAATAGTTGAGACATAAAAATAATGTATATTTATTGGTTTATCAACTCGTGGCATCAACACTAATTTTACATGTTGTTGCTGCAACAATGAAAAATACACATTCTTTTTTTCTATGAATATGAAATATGGCTATGCAATAGAATGTGATATCAATTGATAAAAGATATTTTAAAATTGTACATTGAGGAAGATAACTTCAATAGTCTTGATGGTTATTATACAATATTTTTAAGAAATGAAAACCATAAAAGACAATTCGTAGTGCGTTAATAATCTATTCTAACTAAATTTTTATTGTAGTTATAATTAGCCCTATTGTTTTTTTTTTCCTTCTTTTTTTTTTTTTTGCTTCGTCAGTGTCCTCAACATTTTTAAGACATGAAAACCATTGGAGACAATTTGTAGTGCGATAACAATCGATTTTCATTAAACTTTTGTTGTAGTTATAATTAGCCTCTTTTTCTTTTGTCAGTTTTCCTAGGTTTTTTGGTTTCGTCAGTTCTTCACGTGTCTTTTTTTTATGTTGAGATTTTAAAAGTAAGAGGAGCCGAATGATTAATTTGGGACAATCTCATTAATGAAGGACTATTATAAGACGTTACAAAGTTAGTGACAAAGATGAAATTTCACTTATAATTTAGGGACCGAAAATGATAAGCAACTCTTTGAACCATTTTTAACAACGTGGTTGGAAATGAAACAACAAATTTGAGAATAGGTAGTTTGTGCTCAACACAAGTTCATATATATATATATATATATACATTTTTTTTTTTTTTTTTGAAATGGAACTGAGATAACATTAGTCATGGAAGTCCATACAAATTACATTGGAAAGCCAACGCGGAAGGGAATCCAACCAAGAAAAGGAGGACCCCGATCTAAGGCCAAAATTGGCAAGGGCTATGAGCAACCCCATTTGTTGAACGGGGATTAAAAACACAAGTACAATCAATCTCAAAAAGGAGGGAGCAAATATCTCTGATCAAAGCACCTACATATCAATAAAGCACTTGGATTGAACAAAAGAGACAACTTTACTTGCATCAGATTCCGCGATGGACAGCTTCAAGCCGTGGTCGGCTGCGAAAAAGAGGCCATCAGATTCTGCGAGGACAGTTTCAAGCCGTGGTCGGCAGCTTCAAGCCGTGCTATGTTTAGTAAGATAGATAGAAAAGAGGAAGGAAAAAAAAGTGAAATATATAAGTGAAAGAAATAAAATGATTTTCTCTTGTATTGTTTGGTAGAAGAGAAATAAAAGTGAAAAAAATATCAAATTTAAGATATTTTACAATGATATTTTAATACAAATAAAAATATGATGAATAATAAAAGTTAAAATTATTATTTTACCTCTTATTTGTTTATCCAATTTTTCTGTTCTTTTTTCTTTCCAAAGTTTGGTAGGGTGAAAAAGAGAGAGAAAAAATAAATAAGCGTCTCGGATCACCCCACCGGTGGAGAAGTAGTCAAGAGAGTTTACTACAGCTCCATCAACGTTAAGCTTTAGCTGGCCTTCCGGAGGATCTGACCAAGACAGAGAAGGAGGGATCGTTGTGGGGGCTTGCTTTGAATTAATAACATGACACCGTTGGAACTCAAAAAGAAAAATATTAGCATCTTCAAACAGAATTTCTATCGCCTTGGACTTGTCATTGTGAACCAAGTCGTTCTTGTCCTTCCATAAAAACCATGCCGAAGACGCAAAAAAACTCTAAGGCCGTGTTTGGAATTGATTCCGTTTTTTAAGAAAAAAAAATGAAAACGTTTTAAAAATGACATTTTGTGCAATAAAGAAAAAATGGAAATGAAAACGATTTTTTAATTTAGTGTAAAATGAAAGAGAAATGAAAAATGACTTTTAGTCGTTTTTCATTTTTTGTTTTCGTTTTCCCATCTCTCAAACAGAGAGAGACATTAATGAGTTTTTTTATACCGAAAATAATCTCTTGATAAAACTACCAAACACATTTTTAAAAATAATTTCTGTCTAAAATTAAAAACGTTTTCATTTTTATTTTTATATAAAAATAAAATCATTTTAAAACGAATTCCAACGTACCCAGTCTTTCACTTTCAAAAACAAAATGAGATATAAACGAAGTCCAGTAAAGGACACCTGTCTGCAAGAGTCCACAAAGTTTCTCAAACAGGAAGAAAGCCACACTTCCTCAGCTCGATCACACAACCAAAGACAGTGGAAAGTGTTCTTTGGATTTGAGCCACATCGGGGGCAAAAAGGGAGACATTTGATTCCTCTCCTACAAAGATTTCGAAAAGTTGGAAGAACATCATAGAATGCCCCCCAGATGAAATGCTTAATCTTACCGGGAATCTTTAGGTTCCAAAGGCGGTTCTACCGGTTCTTCTCGCCATTGGTCCCCGATGATGCCGTTTCGATTTTCAAATTTACAATGAGCCAGTATCCCGAACGGACTGTGTAAAGCCTTTTCTCCTCATAGTGCCACACTAATAAAGTTGTAGGAGCAGCCGGACTTATAGGAATACCGAGAATAGCATCCTTATCCAAAGGTAAAAATATCTCGGTAATTTTGTTAACATCCCACCTCTTATTATTTGGTTGGTGGATTAGTGACATGATTCGAATTATGGTTCGTTGTTCGCTATAATATTTTTTCTCATAAAAAACACACATAAACGAAAAATTATTCTGAATCTATGAATTAAACGATTACTAAGAGATCTGCAACGAGAATGCCTCTTTCCTTACCGGGAATCTTTAGGTTCCAAAGGCGGTTCTACCGGTTCTTCTCGCCATTGGTCCCCGATGATGCCGTTTCGATTTTCAAATTTACAATGAGCCAGTATCCCGAACGGACTGTGTAAAGCCTTTTCTCCTCATAGTGCCACACTAATAAAGTTATAGGAGCTGCCGGACTTATAGGAATACCGAGAATAGCATCCTTATCCAAAGGTAAAAATATATCGGTAATTTTGTTAACATCCCACCTCTTATTATTTGGTTGGTGGATTAGTGGCATGATTCGAATTATGGTTCGTTGTTCGTTACAATATTTTTTCTCATAAAAAATACACATAAACGAAAAATTATTCTGAATCTATAAATTAAACGATTACTAAGAGATCTGCAACGAGAAGGCCTCTTTCATTGTTCGGAGTGTGCGTGATTGGTTTGAAAGTAGAAGGTCTTGGAATACAAAGAGTGTCAAAGGCGTTAAATCTACCTATACCTACTTGCCATCTCACTCCCCGGGTAAAAAGTCTCCGCCCCACAAACACAAGTCCATATTTTGAGCTATTAGTTTTTCTATTCATTCTATTTTTTCAACTATAAGAAAGATTAGGTCATCTATTAATTTTTTTCTTCCACATATTGGTACAATCTATGTAAAAGTACTAATAATTGTCATTTTCAACCAATTCTACAGAAGTTTTAGTCAACATCGAACATTTTTTGTTTTTGGCCTCTCACAAATTAATGTGATTTGTGTAAAAATTTTAGACAAAAACGCATTGTTAACACGTGCCACCTTTGGAACCTTTGGAGAGGGTGAACCCTAGGCGAGGGAAGCATAGAAGATATCGAAGGAGCAAGTCACGTGTGCATAGAGAGTCAACACGTGCCTCCTCTATATTATATTACCAAAAAAAAGAAAAAGAAAAAAACTCTTGGAAATGAATCGTCCTTTCTTTCCTTCTTTCTTTCAACGGCCAAACCGAAAAATGCTGGCTTATTATGACACAGCTACCTCTTACTCACTCTTAAGAAGTATCGCCCAACACAAAACCCCCAATTACAAATCTCTCTCTCTCTCTAGAAAGAAAAAAAAAAAAGAAGAGAAAAGCCCCCATTTTCCTCTTTCTTGACGATCTCTACGAAGCTCCGTCCCATCTCTCATTGCTTAAGAATCGTCGTCCTCATTTCTCCTTGCGATTCTTCTCAGTTCTCCAGATCCTCTCCGAACGAGCTCCTCCAAATTCCCCCAATCCATTTTCCCGGTAAAATTTTTCTCAGAAAGTTCATTTATTTTCTCTTTAATGTTCGATCCTACATTTGCATGCAACGATTAAGGAGCAATTTATTGAAAGCTCTGATTTTGAGAACGTGTTTTCATTTCTTTTATGTAGTATTTTTGGTCCATATTATCTGTTTGCTTGAGAATCTTGCATCTTTTCTTGTGAATGCCAAACGAACTATTGCTTGTTTGAAATTCAATCCGGTTATTCTTTTCGGCAGTTCCTAAGATTTGAGTTTCTGGAACGGTATTTCTGAAGGATTTGGTTAAGAATCTGGGGCAATTAGCTTTGGAGTTTGGAGAATGGCTTCGATATCTCATTCTCCGGTCACTTTCGCCGGAACATCGGCTTCGGATCTTCTCCGGAGCTCGAGTAACGGCGTTAGAGGCGTTCCATTGAAAGCCCTAGGGAGAGCGCGATTGGGCGCTAGGAGGAAGGATTTCAGCGTTTCGGCGAAGATTAGAAAAGTGAAGAAGCATGACCATCCGTGGCCCCAGGATCCTGATCCGAATGTCAAAGGTGGAGTTCTCACTCATCTATCTAGCTTCAAGCCTCTAAAGGAGAAGCCCAAACCCGTTACTTTGGAGTTCGAGAAGCCTCTCGTTGCTCTTGAAAGGAAAATCATTGATGTAAGCATACCGGTTCTTTTTCTTTGCTAGCTGTTTGTTTGTTTGAGAATTTGAAAATTTGCGGAGTTTTTGCTATAACTGAACAAATTACTCTTTCAGGTTCGGAAGATGGCAAATGAGACTGGGCTGGACTTTAGTGATCAGATTATTTCACTGGAGAACAAATACCAGCAGGTTTGATGACTGTTTTGAATTTGAGCAAATGTTAATATGTTTCGGAAGTAACTCTAAATGCTCTTTTTGATTCAGTTTTTAGAGCCGATGGGTTCTTTACAATTCCATGGTCGAGTTCTCTCGACAGTTTTTATGCATTGTTCATCCATGCCAAGGTGTATTTTGTTTTTTTTTGGACCATATACTCTGAGGGTATAGCTTGCTACGTGAGTGTATTTATAGTTAGATTGACTTGTGAACTAGGTATTTAAAAATTGTTGTGCCAGAAGTCTAGCTAACAGTTGCCACTACTGTTGAGAGCTTCATAAGGATTACAGATCGTACTAGGGCTTCAAAAAAAAAAAAGAAAAAAAAAAGAGACAGTTATTGTTTTCCTTAATTTTTTAATTCTTAAGTTTTCTTTGCCACTACTGTTGAGAGCTTCATAAGGATTACAGATCGTACTAGGGCTTTAAAAAAAAAAAAAGAAAAAAAAAGAGACAGTTATTGTTTTCCTTAATTTTTTAATTCTTAAGTTTTCTAAATCAAATATGTTATTGTTTTTGAGTGATATGTGTTTTCTTTTTTGTCTTTAATGATGCCCCAAATCAGGAATATTATTCATCATAGGTAAAACCAGGTAACATAACCTGAGTCGAAGCCACAGAGCGATACAAAAATAATTACGAGAAGGCACAAATAGTTACTGATAGCATTTGACAATATACAGTGGAATAGAATTTATACTTTTGGTTAAAGCAGGGTCATAGATAGTACTTCTGACCATACATGAGTATTATTTGGAATGTTGCGTATCTTTTTTTGCATGTGTACACATTTTATGCTGATATTTGATTCTGCTGAAGTTGGCTAACTCTTTTAATTTGGTTTTAATTTTCAACTCTTCTTAGAATTTTCTGCTTTTGATTTCAGGCTTTGAAGGATTTATATACGCATCTAACCCCTATACAACGTGTCAATATTGCACGGCATCCTAACAGGCCAACTTTTCTTGATCATGTGTTTAGCATTACTGATAAGGTATGGTGCTCATTATAAGGGTTTATGCGTGTTGACAATTTATCTTCAGATTTCAGCTTTATGGGGCGCTGGAAATTATTAATTAATAAAGGTATTCTGTGTTTCGTATATCCAGTTTGTGGAGCTTCATGGAGACCGAGCAGGTTATGATGACCCTGCTGTTGTTACTGGTATAGGAACCATAGACGGTAAGAGGTACATGTTCATGGGTCATCAGAAGGGTAGAAACACAAAGGAAAACATTCAGCGCAACTTTGGGATGCCTACTCCCCATGGGTATGTTGCTAGAGAATTAGCTAATCTATTAGCTTTGAGATATCCAATAATTTTTCTCATTGCCTGACATCAATGTAATTATTATACTTGACCAGTTATCGAAAAGCTCTGCGCATGATGTATTATGCAGATCACCATGGATTTCCTATAATAACTTTCATTGACACTCCTGGTGCATTCGCAGACCTTAAATCTGAGGAACTAGGCCAAGTATGTTCTCATCTGTGATTTTAGTCTTAAATGGTTACTTCTTATATAAGGAACATGGTTCTGCCAGATACTGGACATTTTTGTTTTGTTTTGTTTTGCATGCATTCAGGGTGAAGCCATTGCTCACAATTTGAGGACTATGTTTGGTCTGAAAGTACCAATTGTCTCTATCGTCATTGGAGAAGGTGGCTCTGGTGGTGCCCTTGCCATTGGCTGTGCTAATAAATTGTTGATGCTTGAAAATGCCGTTTTCTATGTTGCCAGGTAATTTGAGTTTATTTGAATATGTGAATTTCTTCTCAACTAGTGTAAAGAAATGGATCTTACAGTTGGGCATGCTAATATGCTCTTTGATTAGCAGTTTCTCTATCAGCTGATGTGAGGAAATCTCTTTAGACCATATATCTGAATACATTTCCATTTTGCCCGATCATTAGTGCAGAAGTATGTGGAGTCCTGTAATTCAGTAGATTACTTTGTTAGATCTGATCAATGGGGTTTTCCCTCGGCTTTGCATAGCTTTTCTGTTATTTTATTTTGTTTAACTGCAGTTTTTGAATTTCTGTCCAACTCAAGCACTATATTTTTAATATGTTTTCTTCCGATTTGTCTCTGTTTTTGTCATGTTTAGTCCAGAAGCATGTGCAGCAATCTTGTGGAAGAGTGCTAAAGCTTCTCCAAAGGTTTATATACAAACCCACAGTATGCTCATCATGCGACTAGATTATCAATATCATAATTCTTCTTTTTCTGTCCTGCAGGCTGCTGAGAAGTTGAGAATTACTGCATCAGAATTGTGCAGATTGCAAATTGCAGATGGCATCATTCCTGTAATTATCCTCCTTCCTCTTAATAAATTTTATGCATTTGCTTCTTTCCTTGGTTGTTGGAGTTATTCTCAATTATCTTTGAGCAACCCATTTTATTTTATCCCTTACAAAAAACACTTAGCTGGATTTTTTGGGCCCGTTTAGTTTGCTGAGTCGAGTTTTTAATTCGAGTTAAGATGTGACTTTATGTGAGAGTTTTTACTGTAGCAAAAAAGTTAGATGTGACTGTTTCTGAAAGTTTTTTACTATAACAAAATTCGAATTCTAAACTCGAATTGGTGAAATGAACGGGGCCTTTATTTCTTCAGTTTAGATGATTCTTTTAGTTTCATAATTCTGTAAGGTGTTGCCTTAACTCTGAACTTTTATCATATAATGTTGGGGGAGTCTTAGAAGTCTTTTACCTTTTACAGGAACCACTAGGCGGTGCACATGCTGATCCATCTTGGACCTCACAACATATAAAAAATGCCATCAATGAAGCAATGGATGTAAGTCACTCTGGTTTAGTTAATCTTCTTTGATGAATGTGTGGAAAAATATCCTTATCTAGGTGCCTCATCTTGAACAGGAGCTTTTGAAAATGGATACACAAGAGCTACTCAAGCATCGCATGCTTAAGTTCCGAAAAGTTGGTGGGTTTCAAGAAGGACTCCCAGTAGATCCAAAGAAGAAAGTGAACATGAAAAAGAAAGAGGAGCCTATTGTTGGGAGGACTCAACATGCGGATTTGGAGGGTGAGGTAGAAAAAGTGAAACAACAAATTCTGAAAGCTAAGGAATCCTCCAGTGAACCTCCATTATTGCGTCTAAATGAGACAATAGAAAAACTGAGAAAGGAGGTTGATCATGGATTTTCAGAGGCAGCTAAAGCCTTGGGTTTTGAGGACAAGTTTGCCGCACTCCGTGAGGAATTTTTGAAAGTCAATTCAGAGGAACAACTCATTGACCCGGCTTTCAAAAATAAGATTGACAAGCTCAGGAATGAGTTCAATCAGAACCTGCCAAAAGCTCCAAATTATGAAAGCCTGAAGAGTAAGCTTGACATGTTGAAAGAATTATCTAAAGCGAAGAATCTTGCAGAGAAGAACCAGAAGGCTGCATTATTGAAGCAGGAAATCAACCAAAGATTTAAGGAGATCATGGAACGACAGGATGTAAAGGAAAAGTTCGGCGCACTGAAGACTGAAATTCAAAGTTCCGGGGCGTCTAAATTTGGGGACCTGGATTCCAACCTGAGGGAGAAAATTGTGAAGCTAAAGAAAGAGTTGGAGTTTGAATTCGCAGATGTCCTGCAATCCTTGGGTTTGGAAGTGGACGTCATGAAGTCAAATGCAACTCAACTAGAAGAACTCATTCCGCCCTCAGAAGTGAAAGCCAAGATCAAAGAATTGAATAAAGAGATTCAGGAAGGGATTGAAAATGTGGTCAGCTCATCAGATCTGAAGTACAAAATCGAGCTGCTAAAGTTGGAGACTTCAAAGGCAGGAAAGAAGCCTGATTTGGCATCCAAAAAGAAAATTGCGGCTTTAGAGCAACAAATTAAGCAGAGCCTAGTAGCTGCATTGGATTCTTCAAACTTAAAAGAGAAGCATGAGAAGCTGAAGGCAGAAATTTCTGAAAGCATCGGATCTTTTGGAGGACTGGATGGGAGTCTGAAAACAGAAAACCCAGACGAGGGAAGAGTGAAGATAAATGTTGGTGCAAATCGCTGTTGAGCTTAATGTGAGTTTCTTTCTGTTTTATCTCCTCCTCTTGTGTACGTCAAGTTTGGCTATTTCGTTAGTATCCTATCTGGAACTAGTTAATGGTTGCAGGTTTTTCTTACTTTTCCTTGACCAAGTTAGTAGGCGTTCTTTACCAGCCTCACAGGCTTTTATAGATAATTGAAATGAGCCTTTTTCTTGTAGCCGTGTGATAAAATTCAGTTGGAAAATGAGTGCCGTGGCAAGGGAATGCTTAATTTTGTAAAATCATTGGGTTCTCGAGATTCTTTTTTTTTTTTTTTTTTTTTTTTTGCCCCCCTCGTTTACTTCTGAATTTTAGTTATGTTATGTTTTTTTTTTTCTCTGACTTCGTATGGATATAGACTGACTAGCTTAAGCAATTATGCATGCTTCTGTGTCTGTGGTTAGGTTCTGGTTAGTCGGTGACAAAGAAGATCCGTAACAAGAGAGAAGTGATTGATTAATCAGTCTAAAACGCATCAACATCCGAGCAGGTACAGTCTACCTTTTAGCTTTGGCTAAGCGCCTTTAAGCACTCATCGACGTCTTTAGCTATGGAGCACACAGTTTTTGCATCTACAGTATTCTGAGGGAGACAGAATAATGCAAAGTTTTCCAAACTTCTTTTTAAAGGGTATTAGTTTGTCAAATGTTAGCTTCGATGTTTCTGTTTTGCGTTTCTGTTTCTTTTTGAGATAGTGTTTCTTTTTTATTTTTCTCTTTCCTCAGTTAATAGACTTTCGATGCTTCCCGTTTCTCTTTTTGTCCCTGGACTGGACTAAAAGAACTCTTTGTATAGATTGCTACGGAGCGGGTAGTATTCTTAGATAAAACTTCTTCTCCTGTTTGGTGATCATATTGTCTTGCGCACTGGCAAAAAAAAAAAGGGGGAAAAACGACTAACTAAATTCTATTGCGTTTTTTTTTTTTTTTTTTCCTAAAAAAGAAAGACAAATAAAAATCCTATGTGAATTAGTGCTTGCATGGCAACGTGATGAGATTTTTAGGAGCTGATTTAGACAATCTCCCTTTGAAAGTCCTAATCTTTCTGTTCTTTTCGCTTGATTTGAAGCTTAAGCTCAGTAGCTCACCTATTGTAGTTTCTCTTATTATTTTCTCTTTTAATGTAAAAACAACACCTACTTCTTTATCCATTTCTTTAAGAACAATGCTATTGCGCACAAGTGCTGAAGGTGGGTCCTGTACAAATGGGGTTCATTTTTTTTTATTAATGGTAGTGCTTAGCATCCCCGAACTGTCATAATTTGGTCCAAAAACCGAACTGTCATAATTTGGTCCAAAAACCGAACTGTCATAATTTGGTCCAAATCTTTTTGTTTTTTAAAGGGAAAAGCTTTCAATAAATTAAGGCATATCATTATCAGCCTAGATAATAACAGCGAACTTATCTTGAGCTCCAATGTTGATTACAAATAAATGTCTCAATAATGTTTCAAGTTGAAGTGTTCTGAGCTGGAGAGTTGATAGTTGCTATGGACAATGGTGGGTCACGAATTATTCGACACAATAGGATTAGAGCCACCTCTTATCTAATTTTATGGGCAAAATTTTCCCTAAATTCAATATTTAGTGGCAATCAAAGATAAATCCTTGACACCAGTAAAATTTAGATGGAATAACTCACGTGTGTCTTGCACGTGGCTTGTAAGGGCGAAGATGAAAAATCAAGCTCCTCTCCTAGAATCTAATTTACTAACCGGTGAGAATTGAAAAATCAAAGGCGTCTTACCAAATTTTGCTAACTAGAAAGAGTTTAGTCTTTGTGCTGGCGTCCTTAGAGTTACTTTGGGTGCGAAGTCCACTGTTACTTAAATATTTATACATATGAATCAGATGGACATAATAGCATTTCCAATATAATTCTATAATTGACATATGTAAGTGTAAAAAATTCTCCAATGCAGTAACATTTGTTGGGTTAAATTTATCATATTCTATACTTTTTGGCAAATTAGTATATAACAAATTTGTCACCAAGAACAACATACATTTGATTGCTACAAATAAAAAAATTGCAAACGGGGCGGGTTGTCGTTCAATAAAAAAATTTGTCACCAAGAACGAGTCTTGACCCACACCGCCCAATAAACCATTTATTACGGGTCAGACGGGGCAGGGCGGGGCATCATACCCAGGCCCATTGACATAAGTCTATCCAATTGATTGGTCCATGTACTTTATCCTTTACCTTTTGTTTTGACAGATTACTCACTAAATTTATGTTTTTTTAACAGTTTTAGTCGTTAACACTAAGGCCTCGTTCATTTTACCGATTCGAGTTTTCAGTTTTAAGTTTCTACAGTAAAAAGCTCTCAGAAAATGTTACATCTAATTTTTTCTGCTACAGTGAAAAGCTCTCAGAAAATGTCATATCTCAGCTCGAATTGAAAGTTCGAATCCGCGAAGTGAACGAGGCCTAAATAGATGCATGATTTATAGAATTTAATGTAAATAATCACAACATTATCCTATAATAACTAAAAATTTTGCATAAATAGTTATAATAGGTGCAAAATATTATAGTTTTTAATAGGTTTTAACAATACTAAAATAATATTTTACACATAATATAATTATTTATGTAAAATTTTAGTTATCACATAATGGACACATGATTATCTAAGATAAATTTGATAGATCTATTATCATTTTATTGTCAATGATCTGAACGGTTAAAAACAAATTCATAGAGTATAATTAAAATTAAAAATTGAGGGACCAAGGTGCTACTATGCTTGCAGTCAGGAACTAACATGCTAATACCCTAATTATCAAAAAAATAAAAAAAAGCTAATACTCTTCTACTAATTTCTTCCCTTAGGATCTAACGATCGATTACCTTTGAGGACAAGTAGGGGCAAATTTTGTTGTTTGTTTTTTTATTTTTTAAAGTACTTTTTTTGTTTTTTTTTTAATTTTTTAAAGTACCTTTAAAATTTTATGATTTTTTTTTTAGTTTTTCCCATGCTCTATTGAATTTTATTCTTTTTTATTTTTAATTGTATACTTTAAAGGTCCGTTTAAAAATCATGATTTTTAATTCTGAAATTTAAAATTTAAATTTTTTTATAAAAAAAATACTATAATAAAATTAATAATTTAAATTTAAATATATAAAATTAACAAACTCTAAAAAATAAACTTAAGAATATACTCAAGTTAGAGTTTAGTTATGCCACTGAACCTCATTGCTATTAAACAAGGGAAAATTTGATAAAATATACTTTTTTTTTTTCATGAGTGGAAAAATAATAAAATATTAACTAAAAACACAAAAATCTCCTGCATTGCATTTGCCAGTCACAAGAATCAACATTTCAATCCATTTTTCAACAACACACATTAAACACCCGACCCTTTTTTTCCTTTTTTTTTTTTTTTTTTTCAAAGTGTCAAAACAAAAATGGGATCACAGCTTTTCGTCCCTTGGGATACTCGTCCCCAAATTTCTCCAAATACCACCGATGGTTCGCACGTGCCCTCGGCACTAAGTTGGCACATGTGTAAAGAAAGAATCCAAGCCCAGCCCAAGACCAAGTCATGACGGCCCAGCCCAACCACTCAACTATCTCCCCAAAGTAATTCGGACAACTGACCACTTCAAACCACCCCCCTCTCGGCACCTTATACCCACCGCCACCGCCGGTCTCCCTCTTCAGCCTCAGCAGAGCCCGATCCGACCGGATATTCACCACCATTCCGGCCAAAAAAACCGCCAGACCGGCCGCGAACCGCCACCAGAAAGTATTGTCTCCGCCGTAGTCCTCGTAGTGCGAAACCGACCTCGTTTGGACGAACGCGTTGAGGAGGTTGAAGCCAAACGCCATGGCGGCGACGGCGACGGGAAAATCGGAGGAAGGTTTCGGGGCGGAGGCGAGAGAGATTCGGATCGGGTGGATTAGGGTTCGGTGGAGGTAGTGGAGGAGGAAGGGGGTGATGAGAGAGAGAGATCGGAGATCGGAGGCGTGACGGCCGATGGGGAAGAGGAGGAGGGTGAGCCAGAGAGTGGGGCTCTCCATGACGAACCAGGCTAAGGGTGGGGACATGGTTGGGCCCCACCCGGGGCGACGGTGCTTGCCGTAAGGGGCTTGGATGAAGCGGAGGGAGATGGTGGTCGGTGGTCCGATTAGGTAGAGAGTGAGGAGGCTGTAACGGAAGAGGGTCTGGTCGGACTCCATATATTTCTTTGGTTTCGACTTTGTTTTTGTGATGATTGTTAATTTTGTAATGCTTGTGAGTGGAGGAGTGGATTCGAGTCTCAACAAAGTGCATCACATGAAGAAAGGTGAAGTGCACGATTCTATTTATGAATTTCTTGCAGGTTGGACCTTAGCTTTTAATTTTAGCATTTAGATCCTAAATTTGGTAATTGTTAACAATGCAGTCCTATATCGAGTACCAAAATGAACATCAACTAATGGATAATAATTTTTCATTAGAAAAAAAAAAAAAAAAACTAATGGATAATAATTAAAAATTTCAAATGCTAAAAGTAGAGAAGGCGTTCGACTTTCCATCCATTAGCTATCCGATCATAATTGTAACTAAGAACAGTTAATAAGAAAATGAAAGGAAAAATAGAAGACAAGAGAGATTTGAGGTCGTGGGCAAGGTGCCTATATGTACAGATTAAGAAAAAGAAGAAGAATTACTATAGAATGGACTCTATATAAATACACATTGCAAAGCACATAATCAAGTAAGTTATCCGAGATTAAAAAAAAAAAAAAAAAAAACATCTTAATGTGAAGTCAAAACTATTAATAAAAATACTCTCTCTAATATGCTCTTGCAAGAATGAGCTCCGAAAGGAGATCCAATCTCGTAGACCTTTTTTTATTTGTCTCTCTCTCTTTCGGTTCCTTAATAATACTCTCTCTAATAGGCGGTTCCTTAAGGTGCCTACATACAGAGACTAGAAAAAGGAAGAATATTCACTAGTAAGGAGTTTTATGGAATGGGCTTCATGTAAATACACATTGCAAAGCACCTAATCAGATGAGTTACCTATGACTAAAATCAAGAAACTTCCTAATATGAAAATGATACCAATGAAGTTAAAACTATTAATAAAGATAGTTTTCCTAATATACGTTCCCTAATAGTAATAAGTGTATGATTGTTTAGATCTTTTATTGGAGACATTTCCTTTGGATCCTTTTGGTTTGCGTCTTTGAATTGTGGTGAAACCATTTTTAGTTTGAACTGAAGCAATTTGAACTGCCATTTGAACTGGTGTTTAGATACGTAAATAAATTGTAATTCGAAAAGGGTATAAAATTTAAATTGTGTTTGAATAGAGTGTTCAAAATACTCATTTGAAAACTTCAGGCTTTTATAACAAATCTTACAGAACTTTGTTTTATATTATAGATTTCAATAAGCTATATGGACGACGAGGGTTTGTTTCTTTTCTACTTTGAATGTATAGGAAGAAGAAATATCTCATCAGACATAATTCGAAAATTTTTTATGATATTTTAAAACTTGAGGTAGAAGGGAGGGAAAAAGCAGTAAATATGTTCGAATTGAAATTTTCGACCCAGATTTGGAACCAAACAAGGTGTAAAAAACTTTTAAATAGCCAATAATGCATAAATTAAATTTAACTCCAAATTTTGGAAAAAGAGATCATAGTACAATAAATAATAAGCATAGATTTTAGAAACTAAGTAAAATAACTGTACCCAAATTGTTGTATATTCGACTTGTCTAATGCATACATATGGTCAGAGGGAAAGGGGAAAAAAAAAAATCAATGACATCGGCTAAGAATCTTCGCGGTTGAAAAACTTATAAGGTGCAATAATGCCACTAAAACTAATGTAACGCAGATAAGTTTCAATAATGTATTTAATTGATCAACTCATATTTCAGTAGAAAGTATAATTGATCAACTCACGCACCATGATGTGTCGCTTGAATTATATGGCTATTAAACGTTAATCAATGTTGATATATTCTAAACTGCACAGTGCAGATGACAATTAAATTGCTCAGCTCCACTTAAACACAACTGCTTTGCAATATTCTTGCATATGGTGGTTTATTTTGAACATGGAAATTCTTTCTGTTAAGAAGTCAGTTACTATGCACATATCTCCATATCCAAAATGTAAATTCCATTTGTGAAGGATAAAAAAAGGGTAAGAACACTAATGATCGTCTGTTAAGAAGGCAAACCAAAAGAGTGGAAATTTTCCCTCTTCATTACTGGAGCCATGCGCGAGTAATTCATGCCTTGATCTGCCTGTCAATTTAATACTCAATGCCTTGATTATAAAACCGCGGCCATCTTTCAAAAATGTGATCTGCACAGGCCATGACTTGTCCTTCCGACAAAGCAACAACATATCCGGATCGAGTTTGATATCTTTGGCCATTGCACGTGGAATATACTGTAATCATAAAAAGTCTTTATCCTATGAGATTCATATCCTTATCCACGAGAAAGTAACGAAAATCAATGTAGTATAGTAATGCAAAAGGAGAAGCTATTACGGATAAAAGAAGATCAAAACTAAGGTGGTAAGTCCCCAAGAATTCAGGGGATGTTTCGAAAAGAATCTTACTCGCATCGGATCCTCCTCGTTAAAATGATTAAAGGGAAGAGAATGAATCAGATTCATCGACTTGTCATTAACAAGGTAGACAAAAGGGCATGCTGCGAACAGTCAGTTCTTTGATAGGAAGCTACTTTTCACATTCCAAAACTACAACATACCAAATTGATTTTACTTCCATAAGATTTCACACACCAACGTTAATCGCTACAGAATTGTTTTACCCAATCTATTTTTCATTGCACAGTATTGAAAGTGTTTGTTTATTTTCCACTTCACACTTTCCATCAATGATAATCAGGGCAGTCTTATTGAGGAAGAGAAACTAGAATTAGCATTTATTGCCGCTTACTGCATTAATTCCTAAAAATTGTATATTAATTTTAGAATGCAAAATATAAATAAAAAATGTAAATTTTTCACTTATCCTAGCCTCTGGGCGACCACTACGGGGGCTTTTTGACAACGTTTTACTTTTTTTCATCATTTTTTGACGCCATCGTTTGCAGGCATGTCCAGAAAAATGTAAGGATCATGTATGCAAAATTTCATAATTTTGTGACGTCATTTTTATTTTATTTTATTTCATCCCGGCCCCAGGGCACCCTATGCGGGCCGGGGGATTTTTGACAGCGTTGTACTTTTTTTGTCATTGTTTGAGGCCATTTTTTGCAGGCATGCAGAGAAAAATGTAAGGATGGTGTCTGCAAAATTTCATAATTTTTTGACGTTGTTTTTATTTTATTATATTTTCAAAGACGAAAAATAAAAAAAATCATAAAAAATATAATATTCATCAAATAATGGTGCCACTTGTTGCATTAATTTCTAAAAATTATATCTTAATTTTAGAATGCAAAACATAAATAAAAAAGTAAATTTTTGACCCATACCGGCCCCTGAGTGCCCTACTATGGGGGCTTGGGGCTTTTTGACAGCGTTTTAATTTTATTTGTCATTGTTTGAGGCTATTTTTTGTAGGCATGCCCAGAAAAATGTAAGGATGGTGTCCGCAAAATTTTATAATTTTTTGACGTCGTTTTTATTTTGTTTTATTTTTTAAAGATGAAAAATAAAGAAAATTATAAAAAATAGAATATTCATCAAAAAATGGCGCCGCTTATTGTATTAATTCCTAAAAATTGTATACTAATTTTAGAATGCAAAACATAAATAAAAATGTAAATTTTTGACCCATCCCGGCCCCTAGGCGCCCCACTATGCGGGCCGAGGGCTCTGTGACAGCGTTTTACCTTTTTTTTTGTCATTTGTTGAGGCCATTTTTTGTAGGCATGCCCAGAAAAATGTAAGGATGGTGTCTGTAAAATTTCATAATTTTTTGACGACATTTTTGTTTTATTTTATTTTTCAAAGATGAAAAATAAAGAAAATCATAAAAAATAGAATATTCATCAAAGAATGTTGCCGCTTGTTGCATTAATTCTCTAAAATTGTATATTAATTTTAGAATGTAAAACATAAATAAAAATGTAAATTTTTGACCCATCCCGGCCCCTGCGCGCCCCACTACGCGGGTCGGGGGCTTTTTGACAGCGTTTTACTTGTTTTTGTAATTTTTTGAGGCCATTTTTAGTAGACATGGCTATAAAAATGTAGGCATCATGTTTGCAAAATTTCAGAATTTTTTGATGTCATTTTTGTTTGATTTTATTTTTCAAATATGAAAAATAAAGAAAATCATAAAACATAGAATATTCATCAAATAATGGTACCACTTGTTGCATTAATTCTTAAAAATCATTTATTAATTTTACAATGCAAAACTTAAATGAAAATTTTAATTTTTGACCCATCCCGGCGCTTGGGGGCCCCACTACGCAGGTCGGGGGCATTTACACATTGTTTTTCTGTTTTTTTTTTCCTTTTTGAGTCCTTTTTTGCTGACATGAGCAGAAAAATGCGATGATCCTATATGTAAAATTTAATTATTTTTCGACGTCGTTTTTATTTTATTTTATTTTTTAGAGATGAAAAATAAAGAAAATAATAAAAAATAGAATATTAATAAAAAAAATGGTGTTGCTTATGGCATTAATGCCTAAAAATCGTATAATAATTTTAAAATGCAAAACATAGATAAAAATGTAAATTTTTGACCCATCCCAGCTCCTAGACGCCCGCTACGCGAGCCGTGGGCTATTTGACAACGTTTTACATTTTTTTGTCATTTATTGAGGTCAGTTTTTGTAGGCATGTCTAGAAAAATGTAAAGATCGTGTCTGCAAAATTTCATAATTTTTTGACGTCGTCTTTATTTTATTTTAGTTTTTAAAGATGAAAAATAAAAAAAATCATAAAAAATAGAATATTGATAAAAAACTGGTGCTGCTTGTTGCATTAATTCATAAAAATAATATATTAATTTTAGAATGCAAAACATAAATGAAAATGTAAATTTTTAACCCATCCCGTCCCCTGGGCGCCCTACTACGAGGGCTGGGGTTTTTTTTTTTACGGAGTTTTACATTTTTTTGTCATTTATTGAGGCCATTTTATGTTAGCATGCCTAGAAAAATGTAAGGATCGTGTCTGGAAAATTTCATAAGTTTTTGACGTTGTTTTCATTTTATTTTATTTCTTAAAGATGAAAAATAAGGAAAATCATAAAAAAATAGAATATTCATTAAAATGTTAACTTTTGACCCATCCCGGCCCTTGGGTGCCCCATTACGCAGTCCGGGGGCTTTTACACAACATTTTTTTTTTAATTTTTCACCCATCCCGGCCCATGGGCGCCCACTACGCAGGCTGTGGGCTCTTTGACAGTGTTTTACGTTTTCTTTTATCATTTATTGAGGTCAGTTTTTGTAGGCATGCCCAGAAAAATGTAAAGATCGTGTCTACAAAATTTCGTAATTTTTTGACGTTGTTTTTATTTTATTTTATTTTTCAAAAATGAAAAATAAAGAAAATCATGAAAAATAGAATATTTATCAAAAAATGGTTCTGCTTTTCGCATTAATTCTTAAAAATCGTATATTAATTTTGGAATACAAAACATAAATAAAAATGTAGAGTTTTGACCCATCCCGTCCCCTGGGGGCCCCATGCGGGCCGGGGGCTTTTTGACAGCGTTTTACTTTTTTTTTTTTTTTTTTTATCATTAATTGAGGCCTTTTTTTGCAGGCATGCCCAGAAAAATGTAAGGATGGTGTTTGCAAAATTTCATAATTTTTTGACGTCATTTTATTTTGTTATATTTTTCAAATACGAAAAATAAAGAAAATCATAAAAAATAGAATATTCATCAAAAAATGGTGCCGCTTATTGCATTAATTCCTAAAAATCGTATAATAATTTTAGATTACAAAACATAAATAAAAATGTAAATTTTTTACCCATCCCGGCACCTCGGCGCCCCATTACGCGGGTCGGGAGCTTTTTGACGGCGTTTTACTTTTTTTTTGTCATTTATTGAGGACATTTTTTGTTGGCATGCCCAGAAGAATGTACGGATCATGTCTGCAAAATTTCACAAGTTTTTGACGTCGTTTTAATTTTATTTTAGTTTTCAAAAATGAAGAATAAAGAAAATCATAAAAAAATAGAATATTCATGAAAGAATGGTGCCGCTTATTGCATTAATTTCTAAAAATCGTATATTAATTTTATAATACGAAACATAAATAAAAATGTAAAATTTGACCCATCTCGGCCCCTGGACGTCCCACTACGCGGGCCGAGAGCTTTTTTAGTGCGTTTTTTTTTCCTTTTTGAGTCCTTTTTTTTTGCTCGCAGATAAGCACGCCGCCCGCCTGCTGGCCGTCTTTTAACGTCGTTTTTATTTTATTTTATTTTTTAAAGATGAAAAATAAAGAAAATCATAAAAAATAGAATATTCATGAAAGAATGGTGCCGCTTATTGCATTAATTCCTAAAAATCGTATATTAATTTTAGAATGTAAAACATAAATAAAAATGTAAATTTTGACCCCCCCGGGCCCCTAGACGCCCCCCACTACGCGGGCCGCGAGCTTTTTTAGAGCGTTTTTCTTTTTTCTTTTTTTTTTTCCCTTTTTAAGTCCTTTTTTTTGCTGGCAGATAAGCAAGCCGCCCGCCTGCTGGCCGTCTTTTGACGTCGTTTTTATTTTATTCTATTTTTTAATGATGAAAAATAAAAAAATAAAAAAAATAGAATTTTCATCAAAGAATGGTGCCGTTGGTTCATTAATTCGTAAAAATCGTATATTAACTTTAGAATACAAAACATAAATTAAAATGTAAATTTTTGACCCATCCCGGCCCATGGGCGCCCCACTATGCGGGTTGGAGGCTTTTTGACAGCGTTTTACTTTTTTTTTTGTCATTGTTTGAGGCTATTTTTTGCAAACATGCCCAGAAAAATGTAAGGATAGTGTCTGCAAAATGTCATAATTTTTTGATATCGTTTTTATTTTATTTTATTTTTTAAAGCTGAAAATATAGAAAATCATAAAAAAATAGAATATTTATCAAAAAATGGTGCCGCTTATTGCATTAATGGGTGTCCCGGGGGTGTCATGGGGCTGTCCCGGGGGTGCCCCGGGGGAACCGTAATATGATTTTAGATCCCACTTGGGGTTTTTAAAATAATTGGGTTGAGTAAATGTGTGGTAGAGAATTTAAGTGGGATAATTCCTACCCTAGAAATTCTCTTTTGTTAAAAAAAAAATGGAATGAAAGAAAAATTCTGAGTTGATCCCATTTTAAGTTCACAAACTATAGGCAAATACAATTTTGGTCTCAGAACGTATTTCCTTATCTATTAAGTAGTCCAATCTTCAAACAATACCAGAAGTGTTAAGCCTAATTATAGAATCTTCAATCTTGAAACGAATTATATTAATCTGCATTAAACTTAACCTTTTGACACCAAAACAAATACAGACTGCCAAGAAGAAAAAGAAATTAACAACTAATTAATTTTTGACATTTTACATTCACATTCTTGACATTTTTTGCTTTTTTTTTTTTTTCAGTTTGACTTTTTTGACCAATTTCTGATTGAATGGCAATTTTTTTTTAAGTGGCACAAATCTAAATGGCAGCGTGTTTTAGTGGGTCATTTTAAAAAAAAAAAATCAGAATTCTTATTTATTTAAAAACCTCTTCTTTATTTATCACCGCTTACAGCCATACCGAAGAAAATGTCATACCTTAGATTTTCAAAGCTTCTTCATCTTCAGTAAAACAAGGATCTGAACCATGCATGATCACATCATCAATCATTTCTCT